TTTCCTCAAGGTCAGTGTACTGTGTTGTTTGCCCTTCCACACAAATAAAGGCCATTCAAAGACAGCCAGGCAGTGCCTTTGATACACACGATCTGACACTGCTGAAACCCAGCTACTTATTCTCAGACTGTACGATGAGAATGGTATTTTCTTGGTGAAGTATAGATTATCCAGTATTAATTCCAAACGTCCTTTAGACAGGGCCTGTGTTTAATTTGACCTTAAACCATTTAAATGTTAATTGCGTCACACATGAAATGAGTATGTAGATAAAATTTGCATATTGCTTTTAGTCATCTCACTTAAAAAAAAAGAAAAAAAGAAAAATGCTGCCATGTGCAGGGGATACTTAGTGAGGAGGGACTAACAAAGTGTGTCTGCCAACAGTCTCATTCAAGACAGCATAATCTCAGAATAGATGCTGCAGGAACCCACTGAAGAACAAGGGGTGAGAGGACAGTAAGTGCAGTATAGATGCTGCAGCTGTGGAATGAAGAGCTGTCAGATCCAGTGAGCACTTTACAGAGAAAAGGAAACACTTGGTTCAGCTGAAATAAATCATGTGCCCTCGTCCTTTAGTGCATGTTTATATTTTTTCAAAGCAGACAAGGGAAAATCTCATATTACTGGGTGACAGATATTATACAGAAGTCATAAAAATAAATCCAGTTTTCGGTTTTGCTGTAAGGGAAGATTGTTATATTAATGACACGTTTTCATCACAAGATTATTGATCAGTCATTAATCTAGTTATTAATTACCAAAAAAGAAATGAATGATTATGAGAAGAGTATTGAAAAAACGCACATGTACATTCGGATAATGTCATCTAACACAAACACTCATTTGATCTCCTGTTACAACAAGGCTGCTAATGTGAAGTCTCTGCATGGCAGAACAACTGTGAAGTTGTTTTGTGATCCATGGGGGGTTTTGTTTTGTTTTTTTCTTTTTGTTGCCAACTTTCAATAAGGGCAATTAGAGCTTATGCAGTGACAATGAAATCTCCACAGGGCTCTGGAACATTTGGATGGTGCTGTCACGAACAGTCATTTGATCTGTGAGACGGGAGCACAGAAGACGGCTCCGTGCAACTGGTTAATAACAATTATAGAGAGAATAAGAGCACCAGCTGGGCAGCGGAAAGGAGTTCATTGTGCGAGAGTGATGTGAACATAAAGCACAAATAAGGCAGTTTACACGGGGGTCAAGCCAAGTAAAACATTATGTGTTTTTTATAACAGTACATTAAGCTCAGTCACACCTTTTTGCCATTTTATAATATGTGTGGAAGCCAACTAATCAACAATTATGGCCTTGTTATTCCGCCTGGTTTAACTACTGTTTTGTTGGGTTTCTTTTTTTAGGGGGAAACGATGACTACATGAAGTTGCTTAGTTGCAAGACCAAGGTCTGGGCAAATTAAAGATAATAATGCATGTGAAATCAGGGCTGCCACAGGTTTTGTGGTTAAGGGGCCACTGAGCAGGTGCAATAGAAAGCTTTTAAAACGTGATCTGTGGCCTGTGGTAATACAGTGTTGAATCACATATATAAACAGTGCGTGTAATTTCCCTTTTACTAATAACCACAGTCCCTTGTCCCTTGTAGAAATGTTTACCCTCCCCCCCAGGTTACCTTGATTTTTGCGAATGTTGAGTATCAAATTTATTTATCTATTTATTTTTTTGGCTCACTCTATACTAGTTTATAGTTAACCTATGTTATATTTTCAACATATTTTCGGAACATTTTTGACAATGTGATACACAAATCACAAATACATCATTAGTTTGGCTTGGAAATAATCTTACCATTTTAAGTTTTTGTTTTATTTTGGCTTATCTTTTGGTTTAACTTTTTCTAGGCTAACTCCTAGTTTCATTCTGGCTACTTTAAGACAGCCAACTATAGCCTCGTACTATATATACACTGTTAGGCTCACTTTTAACTTTGTGACATATGCTGGGCATCAAAATCTTCCTCAAAAAAAAAAAAAAAAAAACTTCAAGTACAATATCCCAAATTTTTGCCAATAGCCCCAGCTGAGTTCTGACCCTGGAACACATGCGAGCGCACGCACTCACCCAGACACACAGCAGTACCTTTTATTCCTCTGAGCCTCCTTCTTATCCATAATGACTGGAACACAGTTTGTAAGTTCGGTCCAGTCCGCGTGCAGACCGCAGCTCCAGCCCGTGGAGAAGCGGGAGAAGGGCCACGACTCCTCCTTCTCTGGCTGTTGACAAGGGCAATACTTATGTGCAGTCGCACGGCTGCTCCAGGCGGATATTCCTCACCAAGTGCCTCCCGAACGTGGTTCCTCCAGTCTTCTGGATGTGCAGAAACACGATCACGTCGTCCCCTTTAATGTTGAACTCCACGTGTCTGTCCAGGTCTCGTTCTGTGAAGTTGAATTTTGACAACAGCTTCGCGGAGCTGTCATCCTCCAGGTCCTGGTCCCTGTAGAAATCATCATTGTCCTGGTACAGAGCGCTGGAGAGTAGACTGACCCCCTTTAATTTCTCTCCATCAGTCTTAAAGTGGCACGAATTGCTGCCCGCGGGACAAATGTACTGATAACCTATCATAACAAAAAGGACCGCTAAAATGGGAACCAAGATGAGCTTACTGGACCTCTCATCCATTATATCAAGATAGTGACTTCATTCCATTACCTTGAATAATAACTGGCACCCATGTGTTATTCGTTTTCCCAAGGATCAATAATTCGCCATACCTTAGGAAACATTTAAAGTGTATTTTAATTTAAGTGCCTCACAGAAGAACATCATCCACGAACACATGTACAGGGAGACAACAGGACAGATGCACCGTTAGGGATTTTAAAGCTTCCAAGCTGTCTGCACTGCGCTGGAAAATGTGTCCAAAGTCAACAGTCATGACAACAAAATGTGTCTCTGTCCAACTTCTGAAGCCGGTGAGGAGCTGCATCCTTCCCGGCGACTCCCATCCTTCAAAGCGAAGTTACAATTGCGGCAATTAATAAGAGTTTTTTTTCCCGGATGTTGTTTTCTCCCTTGTTGACTAAATCGCCGCGGGATTCATATCTGTGACAGAATCCTTTCAGGAGAAATATCGCACGGCTGAGTCTGAGGTGCAGGCAGCATCCTACAGCATCCTTGGCGGACAGAGGCGGTCTGACTGAGTGTGCTGAAGCAGAGCTTTTGAGAGGATGCTTCTGCTGCTGCTGCTACTGCTGCTGCTGCATCCGATCCGACAAATAGGCTATACCATGCTTACACTCTGGTGTAGGTTTGGCTGCAAAAGCAACCAGGTCTCATCCATCCAATAATCGACTTTAAAAAATTACAAAATCATAAGCCAAGATCTATCTATCTATCTATCTATCTATCTATCTATCTATCTATCTATCTATCTATCTATCTAGAGAAGAAAACAATTTTAATGATAAACAAGTGCTTTTATCCAGACCAAGTATTTTAATTACAGAAGTTCTTAACATAATATTTATACTAAGGGAATTTATATTAATTCATTTGCATGGAAGAGACAACAATGCTTTACAAAACTCAACAAGGTCAGATATTTTCTGTACTGACTCCTTAAAAAGAGAGCTGTAGATGAACTGCATGTTTTTTTTCTTTAAGATTTACTCAGTGTACAAATCTGGAGTGTAAGTATAATGATGAAATGTTTAAGTGCATCTAATGACATCCCTATTGAAGCTGTGCTGAAACTGCTATTTCAGGAATAAATTAGGAATAAACGTGTCTGTTCAGATGTGAAGGAGAAATCTTTTCTAATGAAGGGCAGTCAAATGTGGCACTTTCGATACCAGTAAAATATCAAAATGGCAGATGGTCCATCCAATAATTATTAAGACTGTAAGGTATGAGCAAACATATATACCTTGTAAAAAAAAAGTGATTTTGTGATTGTGGTTAGTATATAGGCACTTTGGTGATGGCGGTTTGTACCTTCCAGTGGACTCACCACCCGCAGGAAAGGTTGGCGACTGCTGCCCCTGCGACCCGGTAATGGATAAGCAGATGAAAATGGATGGATGGATGGATGGATGGATGGATGGATGGATGGATGGATGGATGGATGGATGGATGGATGGATGGATGGATGGATGGGTTAGTATGTAACACTTGGTTAGTATGTAACACTTGACTTTTGATTGTAAGGATACATTCCTTTTCCTCTGGTTTGTACTCAGGCAGGAAGAAATACATTTAATTTGTCTTGGTAATTTAGAAACCTGTTTGGCTTAGGGTCTGTGCTGAATTTTTTACCAGTGGAACAAAGAAGCAACAGGGAAATGCTGATGTCATGGGTAATGATTTTGAGCCTTCAACTGATCACAACTGATAATCTGATTTCGTGCCAAACTATACACAGGAATGTTTCAGAGAAAATGTGTATGGTAATGGGACTTCAGTCAGTGGTAGTGATGCCGATTACAACAGCTGATTAGGAACATGCTTGTAAGTATATCTCTCACAGCCTACTGTATTTAACCTGACAATGAAAGGCATAGTTTGTGCATTAAGTTACATCAGGCAGAGCGTAGATTTACTACGTTTGCTACGTACTTCCATACACAGAGTAGCTATTTATGTCAGGACAAAATGCAAAGTGAGTAAGGATCAAATTGAAATTACATTACATTTTTTGAAAATAATAATAATAAATACATAATGCAAAACAGTTCTATATAACTAAGTTCTGTTAAAAAAAATTTTATGGGAAAATTGTTTTAACAGCTTTTTAAATGTGTTATTCGTCCGCTGTTCAACACAAATACTCATAGAGGAAACCGTTAGACCGGTCAACTTATTTTTAGCTGTCTACTGCTCTGCCTGATCACATTTTTACGCAAAATACATATTTTTGTCATCACTACACACCCTAAATAAATTATTTGAAAATAATAATCATTAATTTATTTTATTTTAAAATACCAGTATAAAATTGAATTTTATACTTCCAGTTTATTTAAAATGTAAACTACGGCCAGCTGCAGCCACCCTGTAGCGCCGGCAGCTTGCTATGGCACAAGTTTATAGTTAGCGTTCCCAAAATACCTTTCTGCAGCCTTTGCTTTAATTGGGAGAAGTTAACATCAGTCAAGGTACATGTTTTTTATTATTATTATTATTGCCTTATTAACAAACCGTTCCATTCTTTTTTGTTTGTTTGTAATTTCGTTCACTAAATCGTTAACATTTTCAGTCACGACTGAAGTTGATTTCAATTCACGTAAATGTAAATGGTAGTACATTTTGTAATTAAAAATATACAATATTTATTGAAAACTTTAGTTTTTCACCAATAGGCAATTCATCAAATCTATGAATTGCATTGGCTGCTAATGTTATTGTGTATGTACGTCAACTTAAAGCTCCTACGTGGCATATACCGGCTAAGAGACTATATGAAGACCTTAATTGTTTCTCCTTGTCGTAGTTTCATGAGTGACCGGGGATAATGAGGTCGGTTATTGTGCTGTGGTTGCTGCTTCTGAGCATACATCATGCCACATCAACACCCAAAGGAGTCACTGCCAGTCTGAAAGCCAAGTGGAGCATGACACCTTTCCTTCTAGAAACAAGGTACCTGTCATTACTGGATGTGATTTGCCCATAAGCATGGCTTTGCGATAAACACTTGAGGTAGAAATACCTGTGTAAGTGGACGTAACAGATTTTAAAATCTTGACAGAGCTGCCCATAACGAATAATAACTCCCTGCAGAAAAAACAAGTCATTAGCATGTTATGAAGTGACCTATATGTGTTATAATAAATGTATGGCAACTTACTTCTAACTGAATTTTAAATGCCAGATTCAATTGGCATTTGAAATTTGAATTATGAGCAACCTCACGGCTCTCTTGTGATGTAGTTGAGGTGGACATCATATTTTTTCAGATTTATACTGCATGTTTTACTTAATGGGCCTAACAAAGTCAAACTAAAGTTCTACAAATCAGCCTTCAAGTTCAGCAGCTTAAAAGAGTTTGGTCCACAAAGTTATTTTCCATTGTGTGCTACTAAAACCTGCCGCCTTCAGAACACATTTGTGTATAACCAAGTTGATACATCAAGTCCTAGATTGTGACATTGTAGGCACTGTTCCATTTAGCTCCCTGTGTTTCAGAGTAGCTGCTGACTCAGTGTCACACTGCGGTGACTTGCTGAAGAGCCTATAATTTCATGAGTAGCACCTGTGTTGATTACGTCAAGTATTTGTGGCCTATATCTTTTTTACTTCAGTGTTTATCCTTTATATGTTTGCAGTGGTACCATGACTGATGACATAATTGCCTAAAAGTACTAGAACTTTCAGTAATGATTTACATTGCAGAAAATATTGTGGTTGTATACATTTACTGCACTTTTGCTGAAGGTAAGCATTTTTTGGCTGCGTTTGTTCTGCTTTTTCCCTCACATTAAATGAACTGTTTAGACTGTGTTTCTGTGTACAACAGCATACGTGCATTTTTACCTCTTCTTCCCTTCAATAACTATTATAATTCAATGACATTTGACGTACTAATATTATTAATATTATTATGTAATATTATTTTATTAGCTAAAGTTAAATGTTGATTGATAACTTGCTGCCAGTAAGCATTTGTTATTTGCAGGTGAATTCGTAATTTTTGCTAACCTCACTTTTCAGAATATATATCAAAATAAAATGGCTAACATTCATTTTCTGAACTGCAGTGAGTTTGTAGGAGAAGATGGGAGCGATAAGTTCTGGCAGTTTGTTGACACTGTGAAGGAGCTCTCTGTTTACAAGCAAGGAGGTACGTCGTCTGAAACGAATATCTTCGTCCATCACAAAGATGTGTTCACAAAAATCTTGGGGGTTTTCACCATTACAAACGGTGTGTCTTACAGAGTCCGTGCGCTCATACTATAACTTGATCATTAAGAAGGCGGGCCAATTCCTCACAGATCTGCAAGTTAATCTTCTGAAATTTGCTCTGGCACTGCGGTCGTACTCACCAGCTGTTCATGCGTCTCAGCAGGTTTGTTGTGATGAAAAGACTGCTCCAATGATGAATGTTTTTCTCCAGCAGTCTGTGGTTTGCCACGTACAGTGTATTAATTAATATTTTGAATTAATTTATTTAACAGCAGTCCCTGTTGGTGCCTTTTGTGTTGTTCTTAGATGTATTTAAAACATACTTGTTATATATAACCATTTAACTGAATGTTTGTGTATCTTTGTGTTTTTGTTTTTTTGTGTTTTTATTCCCCCGATTGGCAGTGGTACCTGACTGTAGTAAAACAAGCTACAAAAAATCTCAACATTTTTTTTGAGTCCCACCTTTTAAGTATTTGTGTGGCAAAAATATGGCTGCAGATCTTGGCAGAACTGACATTGTTTTGTCACTGATATGAGGACAAAAACACTTTCCGCCGTCCTGCACTCCACAGCTAGCCAGCGATGAGCCTCCGCCTGAGGCCTGTCCTGCCTTTGTTTCCATTCATGGTCAACACAGCTGCAACACCAAGGACATCAAGAAGCTCCTGAAGGCTGCTGCAGGCAGGTAACATAAAATGACACCTTTCTTGCTGGATGGCATTTCAGTACACAATCTTTAACACTGCCCTGTTTATGATTAGCCTAATTGAGTTAAGGAATGTGTTTCATACAAAATTATAGGCCACAGCCGTATTTATTCAAGAATGATCACACGTATCCCGGAGTCAACAAAACACATGTACCAGTGGTGATCCTGTATGCTGAGATTGGAACCAAGAAGTTTGTCTCTTTCCATAAAGTGCTATCTGAGAAAGCTCAAGAGGGTAAACTTCTATATGTGCTACGGCACTTTGTAGCGGTGAGTGAAGTTGGTTTGTCATCAGCTTTTAAGTGTTTTTCCCTGATTGTGTTTGCTGACTTTGGCAGTCTGGCATGTTTATTCCAAAATGCTTTTATTAGTTTTAAATATTTATTTGACTCTTGTAAACAGAATAGATCAAAAACATATTGTGCTGCAGCCAAAAACTCATAAATACATATCAGAGTTCAGAGTTAGCTGTTTGAACACATATGGCTGGTTTTACCAAGATCACCAAGTAACATCACAGTATCTCATGTTGGTGTCAGTGGGCGTTGCAGCTGAGCACGCTAATTGTTTTTATGAAGGCAGATTTAAAGAGAAATCATTTTCTCTCGGGAGGATCTCTGCTGTTCTGGTGAATTTCAGTGACTGATGTTTTTTGGCAGATGATAATAAATCCCTACTGTGTTTTCATGTATTTAATCATTTTGTTTTTTATTTTCTGCTCAGCATCCTAAAGCCAGAAAGATGCTTTTATCTGGCTACAGTGTTGAGTTGGCCATCAAAAGCACAGAATACAAAGCTGTTGATGACACCAAAGTAAAAGGTCAGTGGTTGTGCTGTCAAACAGGAGCTCACCTCACTGCATTCATGGCAATGTAAACAAATGTTTGCTTTGTAGATCCAAAAACAAATGCAAATGCAGAGGATTCCGATAATGATGTCCAAGGATTTCTTTTTGGAACATTAAAGTAAGTAGCTCAACATTTAAAATCTTTCAACATTCATGTGTTATGTAACCCATCCTTCTGTTTTCTTTTAAGAAAATCACACCCTGAACTGAAAGAACAACTTGGTGAGCTGCACAAACATCTCCTGGAGAGCACCAATGATATGGCTCCACTTAAAGTGTGGGAACTGCAAGGTATTTATTTTCTTTATTCTCAAAGTCAAGACCACTTCACTTGTGTGTACCCGGGTAATCAAAATTAACACATTAAGCCCATTAATTAATTTATGAAATTAATCAGATTTATGATTTTAACAAATTGTGAAGAATCGCAGACTATTTGATGTTGTTGAAGATAAGGGCTTTACTGCAGCTTTGAAAGCAACTCTCGTGTTTGACAAGCCACCACCAAGATGCGGTAATAACTAAATTCCACCAACTCTATGATGATTAACTGATGATTAACATTCATCGTGATTATTGACAGCCACTCTGTGATTAATCATTGTGGAATTGTTTGACCGCTGTTGTGTGTACACATAATTTGTGTCAATACGTACAATATGTACAATATGTATTAATGGCTTGTTGTGATCTCCACAGATCTGAGTTTCCAAGCTGCTGCTAAAGTCATGTCCGTGCCAAAGTTTGATGCGTTGAAGGTCATGCGTGATCTCAGTCAAAACTTTCCAAGCAAAGCCAGGTAAATGATTAAATATTTATTTTCTTTATGTTTATCTTTGTAGCAAGACTCGTTGAGTACCATTAAGAATTAACACTTTTTTTACAGCCCTTAAGTGTAATTCACTGTGAATACTGCAGTTTATTATTTAATCTGAAATATGCTTTGAAAACACGTAAACGAGTATTATTAAATTTCTATCACTTCCCCTGTGATTATGGTGCATCTGTTGGACACAGATCTAATCAGCTTTTGTGATGCTTGCTTATGTTGGCTCAGGCACTTTGTAATAAGAGGAAAAATTGCTGAGTAAGAGTGCTGTGAGTGTTTACAGGGAATTGACTGCAAACGTACCATCTTGAAGCCCCCAGGTTTTTTTTTGTTGTTGTTGGAGATTAAAACTGGCATTTTACAGTTGGCTGGGGATATGGTAAAAGCTGATGGTGACTGGACGCGTTTTACTGTTCCCACAGATCACTGACAAGAGTAGCTGTAAAGCAGGAAATGAGAAAAGAAATTGAGGAGAACCAAAAGGTGCGATATCATAAGCAGTATTCCCACATGGACGTGTGGGAGGTTGTCTTTGATAACGTCTATGGCTGTTTCACAATCTTTGTTTTAGATAATGGGTTTCCAGACACCTTTTATTATTATGTTAGATGTCGCATCTTACTCTACGTCTCAGTTTCCATGCACGTTTCATATTTTCAGCCCACTGATGTAATGCCACATTTTCTCTTTGTTAAAGGTCAGGCATTAAAGGTAGACTCACAAATTAAGGGGTTTTGGCATTTAAAAACGCTTTGAGCTTGTCCTTTCAGCATCTGAGTGAGACGATTGGCGTTCACCCAGGGGACGGGGAGCTTTTCATCAATGGCCTGCACATTGATCTGGACGTTCACAACCCTTTCAGGTAAGGGCACAGCGGGACATGTCCGTAGTCTTCTGTGCTCTTTTCACAAATCCTTAGAACTGTACCTGAACCTCAGAAATCCTGCAGCAGAAAGATCAGAGGTGGCAGCGTTCAAAGCCACTGACACACAGGGACCATCTGTTTTGAAAATAACCTGTGAATTTCTTTTTTTTGACAGCATTTTGGACATCCTCAGAAAAGAGGCCAGGGTCCTGGAGGGGCTTCATAACTTAGGCATAAAAGAGGAGCATCAGGGCAAGCTGTTGAGGTTACCTGTGAACATCGTAGACGACAACTATGCCTTAGACATCAGACATCCATCTATAATGGTGAGTCCTGTCCAATCTCTTTAAATAACTTGCTTGTTCTTTCTCTGTTTGCCATCCTGTCTGAATCAGTATATGAAGCTTTTACAAAATTCTCAGACCCTGCCTCAGAGTCAAGTCTGACCTCAGTAAGGATTCATTTGTTCAGTATTAACACACTGCTGTTCCAGGTTTAGTAAGCACCCAAAGCATGTTTACTGCAGTTTAAAAAAAATCAACATGAGTCATGTTGTTTTCAGAGCTCCTCTTAGCTAAAATGCCTTTTCCTAGGAAATCGCTGGAATTTTATGGGTTTTTTTTCCTTCTAGTGGCTAAATGACATAGAGAATGACCCGATGTACCGGAGTTGGCCAACAGGTGTTCAGGAACTTCTCAGAGCCACCTTCCCTGGTGTCATCAGGCAGATCCGACGCAATTTCTTCAACCTGGTGAGTTCACAACACAGGGCCAGGTTCCCGGAAAATCTAAAAATAAAGAAACAATTCATTATTAGGGTTTTGTTTCATATTTGATTTGATTTATATTCAAATATTTTTTCCAATTTGTTTTAGAATGCAAATACAGGCTTCCAAAGCAGACGTCTGACAGTATTGTGGTAAATTGTTGTCTTTGTGAGTAAACTAAATGTTCATAGTCTCAAACAGTTTCTTGTTGGCACTGCATTTTCTTCCATTTATTGACATTATAATTGCAAGCTTTGGGTCGTATGTTTATTGTTTGAATTTAATGTGGGGATTTAGGTCATCGATGGCTTGGTAGATTATGTAGGTTTGTGCAAAAAAATAACATTTAAATTCTGTGTGTGCCTTTTTATTAATTTTATTTGAATTTTGTTTAATGTTTCTGTTATCTTCAAAAATGTTTGCCTTCTGATGTACTTTGGTCCTCCTGTGGCAGTCAAACAAATCCAATCCAATTTAAGTTTTACTTTCAAAAGCTCTTAAAAAAATCAGAAAAAACAATATATATGTGTGTGTGTGTCTATATATGTGTGTGTGTGTGTGTGTGTGTATGTATGTATATATTTATTTATATGCATATGACTGTGTGTACATGTGGATATATGTTTGTGCTGTTGGTGAGCAGCAGTGTGGTAACAACATGATCAGTTTTGAAATGTGCTCAGTTATTAGGGAATATATTACTTAACTCTTTTTGTTGATGTTTTACATATTCATACCACCTGCTCCATACACACATCTGATCTTTGCAACAACGATGAAAACAAGTAGTGTTTTGGTGTTTTTATCATCACAGCATCCAAAGTAGGAATAAAATCTATACCTATATTCCTATTTAATGTCATTCCCAGTCAAACTGTCGCAACAAATGCATATCTTTTGAAATATTTAAAACTACTCTGTGAGGATCTAGGTATTTTCCAGTGCTGGAGCTGAACGTTTCCTGTGTGTTCTCAGGCAATGAAATCCACCATTTATCCCTCTAGTTGAGCGTAACCTTATAAAAGTATGACCAAAGGTGTTTTATTTTATAAAATAAAATATTTTCTTCCCCTTGATTATCTCAGTAGTCTGGGACCGGCTGTGCTTCTTTCACCAATATTTGATTATACTGTACCTCCTTTCTACCTCTTAGGTGCTGTTTCTAGATCCAATACAAGAAGAAACTGTCGAGCTGTTAAAACTAGCTGAGCTCTTTTACAAGCACAAAATCCCTCTGAGGTTAGTGCAGTTATTTCTCACTCCTCCACAGTTTATGTCACCCTCTCTGGGTATTTTATAATCTTCACTCAGCAGTGATTCTAATTTCACCTGAAAATTGAATACCTGTTTTTGGTTTTTGTTGTTTCAGAATTGGATTTGTGTTCGTCGTCAACACCGAGGAAGAGATTGATGGCTTCTCAGATGCAGGGGTTGGATTCTACCGATTAGTGAACTACATTGCAGACGAGTATGATTTACCCCAGGCTCTGATGTCTATGGTCTCGGTTAGTACACTTTGCACATTTATAAATCTCTGTTCATTCACTGAGATTGTTTTTCCTATATAAAAACACAGTTCTAAAATCTCCTCAAACACTGATTGCCACTTGTGGTTGTTTGTGCCATGAATTGGACCCCGTTGATTAGTGTGTTGCTGATAAATTTGTATCTCCTGAATTAGCTTGTTGCTCTCTGCAGATTTACAAAGAAGTAGAAGTTGGCGAGACTCTAACTGTGGGTGAACTCACTTCTTACCTTAAGAAAAAGTTCCCCAAAGCCAACGCTGAAAGAATTCTCGGTGCAGAATCGGAGTATGATTACAAGAGAAAGGTAAAGAAATTATATAATCTGTTAGTGTTCTGTGATTTGTTGCAAATAATGAGCTCATTAATGATTATAGATTACCTGCAACTGATTATTTTTTCCTTTATTTTTTTCTTCAGGATGGAACCCTCTTCTATAACAAGAGTGGCCTTGGTGCCCTGCCCCTGGCTTTATTTAATGGAGTTCCTCTGAGTCCAGATGAGATGGATCCAGAAGAGCTGGAGACGATAATCCTGCAGCGCATTATGGACACGACCACAGCTTTTCAGAGAGCTGTATTTATGGTTTGTCAGATTTTAGAGACTTCTTATGATTGAAGAATTCTGTAGCAGTGACTGTTTGTGATTTCAATATGCATTATATCTGTTTATAGTCCAGGGTTTTTGTTTTGTGTATTAGTGGCAAGTTACCGCTAATAAACATCTTACAAAGGAAAAAAAACCCTTTGAACAATCACACATGGGGTCTCTTCACCGAAGGATTGAATACAGAATTTGATGAAAATTTAATGCTTTATTGCAGCAGCAGAGTACAACAAACCGACCGAGCTAATACTCATTGTGGTAATGTGGTGAATAATTAAAACCATAACAAGTATAATAAGACAGCTTACTTTTTGCTAAATTGCCTAAATATAGTAGCACGATGGTTCCCAGTTAAACATTGGTCTTTGGGGTGGCTGCATTATTATAGACAGACACAATGACAAATAAAATATTACATAAAAAATCCAATTTATTGATCAATGTCACTTAAAAATTTGAGGACAATATTTTTATGTTTTTAATATTTTTTTTACACTTGAAAAATACAGGTAGGATGTAAAACACAACATATTAAATATCAAGTTCTTGTTTTATTTTATTTTTCACCTCCAACGCCAGTTTTATACTGTGTTCTCATTGTTTTAAATGAATACATTTATGTAACGTTGTACGTTCTGCTTTTCTTTTTGTGAACAAAGGGACTCAGAAGTGACAGCTCGAATCATAAACAAAGTTATTGGGAGTCATTTTGATGGATTAACAGTAGTTCTAACTCGAGACACTGAGTTAGATTTTATATTTGTTAACACACACAAGGGATTTTTGCTCAGGACACTTCTTTAGGAATCATTAATTCTGACCTTGGAAAGTTTGAGTTATGTACAGTCATTTAGTTTCTGACTACAGACAAAAGTGCAGCTCACCTAATAAAGCAAGTGTGGGTGGGAATGCGTTGTGAAATAATCACTTGTACTGTATGAACGCACATTAACTGTGCATCTCATTAGTTTTTTCCTTTTACCTCCAGGGTCAGTTAACAGAGGGTTCAGATGTGGTTGATTATCTAATGGAGCAGGCTAATGTGGTTCACCGGATGAACCCACTTATTCTAAACACTGACAGGAAGTACCTCGACTTCACTACCACACCAGGTAAATTGTACACCAGCATAA